TCACAGGTAAGATAGTTAGGATTAGATCTCAAGAACTAATTTCTGTGAAAAGACCTTAGTTAAATGAATGGCTGTATCTTAGGCCAATCCCACTCCTTGCCTCTTGACCACAGTGCACCCAACCACAGTGCACTGGGTTCCCAGGCAACTGGACAGAAAAGATTCAGGGGACCATATGACACACACCCCCAGACTGGGAAAGGCCCCCCACCACAGAGCCTGCCTCTCCCCATTCCTGTTCCACTGCTCCCTGCCCTTCCTCTGCCTCCTCCTGCTTCTTCCCCACTCTTGCTCCACCTCCACCCACCTCTGCCCCCAACTGAGGCAACCTGGAGGATAGAGAAGCCATTGCTGGCAGCAGAGGTCAGCTGGCCTCCTGTGGGGCTGCCTTGCTCTGTTTCCCCTGCTGATCCTGGTGAGTGTGTGGGGAGGGCTGGTGAATCCCTGCTGCTAGTTCCAGGCCCCTCCTACTAGCTCCCCACCAGCTACTGGGTGACCCCTCCTACCCATGGCATTTGGGATGCATGTGACTCCTTGTGCGCCACCATGTGTCACCCCTGCCTGTGTGGTTTCCCATGTTGCCCACCCATAATGCTGACCCTTCAGCTGCTCCAGCCCCTTTCTCCTCTGATGGGTAAAAATCTTTTACTTTCTAGCCTCAGTTGACTACTTTCTCCAGTGTAAGACCCTTACCACTAGCTTTTGAATTAGCTCATCACTCAGCGGCCAACCTGTGTCCCTGCCATTTTCACTGGACAATATTTTTTCTCTTGCAGGAGAAACCTAAGCCAGGTGATCTGATTGAGATTGACTGAGGGCTTTACAAGCACTGGAGTGTCTATGTGGGAAATGGGTACATTGTCCATTTAACAGGTAAGATGGGTGATACCTGGATTCCTTGTGTGAAACACCCAGCAGAGAGATGGTGAGCTACCCTGCAGATGAGGGTGAGGCAAATGTTCATGAACTAAATTCGCAGTGAACAGTTATCTGCAACCAGTGCTTGGGGACATTTTTCATCCTAAACTATTTTTTAGTGAAAAGGATACAAATTTCATAAAATCATAGGACTGGAAGGAACCTCCAGATGTCCAGTCTCCTACACTTGCGGCGGGACCAAGCATTATTTAGACTATCCTGGACAGGTGTTTGTCTAACCTGCTCTTAAAAAACTCCAATGAGATTTTTAAGAGCAAATTAGACATCTCTCCCTGGGCAATTTATTTGAGGACACAAAAATATTTGGCAAATTTGTGTCAATTTTGCCAAATTGTTTTGTTTAAAAAAATTCCAAACCCCACTTAACAGTTTGATTTTTTAGTTTTAAAATTTCATTTAATTTTAGTTAAAACATTTTTAAATGTAGAAATACTTGAAACAAAACCTTTAGCTCACCTCAACTGATTTTTTCTCTATAAACTTTGAATTTGCCAAAAAATTTGAAAAAAAAATGTTGGGGGTCAACACAAAAACATTTATTTATCAGCATTGCCAACTAATTAAAAAACCCCATCATAGTTCACACCCAGTGTACCTGGCTACTCTCTAATTGCAGTTCTGCAACTAGGTTTGTTATGAGGCTGTTAACTAGAGCCTCTGAGCTAATGGATATATGGTCTTAAGCAGCACTGGAAGGGACTGAGCTAATGGATATATGGTCTTAAGCTCGTTCTGTAATCATAGCACTGGAAGGGGTCTCCTGGGCCCTCGAATCTAGGCCATAGGTGGCTGGTATGGTAGGCACCACCAGCTTGGCCCTCCCCACACTTTAACCCCAGAACGCCTCCTGTAGATGTACTGGGGGCAGAGGGGTGCTGCCCCTGAGTGCCTGCCCTCCTGGTACTCTGGGGCTGGGGAGGTTGGGGCCGCCTCCCCGCCCTCCCTATGCAGTAGAGAGAGGTAGCCATGTTAGTATGATCTTGCTGAAACAAAAGGAAGAACTATGCAGCACTTTAAAGACTAACAAGATTGTTTAATAGGTGATGAGCTTTCATGGTCCAGACCACTTCCTCAGATCATATTCTGGAAGAGAATTAGCAAGACCATATATACCAAAGGAATACAATGAAAAAAGTGAACACATTATTAAACTGACAAATCAGATTTAGAACAGAAGGTGGGGTGAAGGAGCAGGAGGGAGGGAATCATAGAGTACTAGGACTGGAAGGGACCTCGAGAGGTCATAGAGTCCAGTCCCCTGTCCTCATGGCAGGACCAAATACTGTCTAGACCATCCCTGATAGACATTTATCTAACCTACTCTTAAATATCTCCACAGATGGGGATTCCACAACCTCCCTGGGCAATTTATTCCAGTGTTTGACCACCCTGACAGTTAGGAACTTTTTCCTAATGTCCAACCTAAACCTCCCTTGCTGCAGTTTAAGCCCATTGCTTCTTGTTCTATCCTCAGAGGCCAAGATGAACAAGTTTTCTCCCTCCTCCTTATGACACCCTTTTAGATACCTGAAAACTGCTATCATGTCCCCCCTCAATCTTCTCTTTTCCAAACTAAACAAACCCAATTCTTTCAGTCTCCCTTCATAGCTCATGTTCTCTAGACCTTTCATCATTTCTGTTGCTCTTCTCTGGACCCTCTCCAATGTCTCCCCCTCTGTAATCCAGACTTCCCTAGTCCAGCAACACCCCTGGTCTGGCATCATCGGTGACCCCCGGGGTACTCCTGGACTGAAGCACTCATAGGGAAAAACCAGCAGGCTGGGGTCAAACGGAGCCCCTGGAACCTGGAAGCAGAGCCCTGGGGCTGGTGGATGGAACAGGAGAGACTTTTGGGGTTTCAACCAGAGCAGGGGAGCCCTGGCACCCTGGGGTCTGGAGCAGCAGAGCCCCAGGAGCCAGCGGCTAAGAGCAG